ATTGACCAAATTATCAGCCCCATTGGGCCAATATTCAATATAGACAATTTTCTTTATATCGGTACCGATCAGATATCGGACCGATATATCGGTGAACCTCTAGAAACTAAGGAGAGACTGAAGGACCTGAACCTGTTCAGCCTCATCAAGAGGAGGCTGAGGGGGGACGGGGTGGCTGCCTATAAACTCATCAGGGGAGATCAACAGCAAATAGGTAGAGCCCTTTTCTCCCCAGCACCACCTGGGGTGACAAGGAACAATGGTAATAAGCTGATGGAGAATAGGTTTAGGTTACAGATCAGAAGGCAATTTTTTACAGTTAGGGTGGCCAAAATCTGAAACCAACTTCCCAGGGAAGTGGCCCTTGCCCCTACCTTGGGCAAATTCAAGAGGAGGTTGGACGATCACCTGTCTGGGGTCTTGGGACCCCAGCATTCATTCCTGCCTGTGGCAGGGGGTCAGGCCAGATGATCTGTTCAGGTCCCTCCTGACCCTAGCTACTATGAAACTAAGGGATCATTTTTAAGGGCATATGCTTTAGTATCATTCTCCCTTTGCTGATGAAGAGTGTAGCATATAAAACAGCCCGCACACTTTGTTTAGTGGATTGTGTTGCTGACAACTGGTTAATAGCAAGTGCATTTTCAAAAGCTAGTTTCTCATCAGTGTTTCTCTCTTAAAATAAGTTGTATGCTTCCAGATACCTTGTCTGTGACCTTATTTCGAGTTGGGACTGCCTCTGCCAGTTTTGTGGAATTTAGTCACTTGTAAAGCAAGGAGGTAACCATCTGGACTACAGTGAAATTTGCATATCAATCCTATACCTATATTTTCTGTGGCAGTTATTACATTTTTAATACAACAGCGATATTATTTGGCAGCTCTCAGTCCTTTGGATCATGGTGTACACACAAGAGGTCTATGCGACCATTAGACCAACACTTTGAGCACATACACCTAGGAAAGAATATGGAGGAGTGCAAGGTGCCCTAGACCTACCATCCCCTCTTTAGACCGAGACAGAGTCCAAAGGCCAGACCAAGTGCAGACATTCATTGCCTCAGTGGTTGTATCTTCTGCCAGAGAGCAACAGATTAGAACTGCTGACTGCCTGGCATCTCAGGAAGGAAGTGTTTCTGTCAGGGTGATGTCCCAGAAGTATCCACAAGGCAGCGGGTGCTAGAGTTTTAAGGTGCCCTGTACTTGCCTTACTCTGGAGGGTGCAACATTGTGGTATTTTTTAGGAGATACCCTGCCATGAGTAGCCCCATCACATTGCCACCTAGCCCTCCAGTCAGATGCAGTTTATGGTCATACCCAGAACAGTGATATAGAAAAGGCCTATTAATCCATACCGTATTACAGGTGCACCAGTGAATCAGTCCATATCGTAACAGCACCGATAAAAGGAAAATTGACATTATTGTCAGTTGGCTTTTTTTGGCTGATGTGACTGATAATGTCGCCGATAAATGCCACGTGCATACACACAGCCACAGCATGCACGCGACCCAGCCCAGCAGCTTGGAGAGCAGAATTTAGCTGTTAAGTCTTTTGGGGGGAAGAGGCGGAGGGGAACAAAGGGCAGTGGGGGTGCAGACTGAGGCCCCCACAGTGAGGGAGGGAGTGGGGTTGGGGCATGGGCAGGTGCTGCCCAGCTGGGCTTGGGCGGGGTGTGGAATGGAGCCGCAGACAGCTTGTCTGGGGGGGAGGTGTGGGGGGGTGGGGCAGCTTCCAGCACTGGGCGCACTCCTGGGGGAGGCATCAGGGGCACGTTGCCCTGCCAGATCTGTGCGTGGGACAAGGGTGAGCTACCGCTGCGGGCTGGGGCCAGGGTCGAGGCTGGGGCCAGGGCTGGGCTGTTCCTGGTGGGTGGGTTGGGCCGGAGCTTCCCTCGGGGTGGGTGGCAGCAGCATTGGGAGGGGGCTATAGCGAATTCCAGGGTGACTAGCCACCCCAGGAGGCTCTTCCCCACCAAGAAGAGCCCCCGGCCCCAGCCTGCAGCTGCAGCCTGCCCTCACACCACACAGATCCAGGTGTCACATGCCTTCTGTGGCAGAAATGCCACCGTCGGTGCCCCTCTCCAGAGATCTGTCTCTGCCAGCCTGAGAGGCTGGTGTTGAATCCCTCAGGGCGGGGATCTCCCACCTTGTCTACATGACAAAAGCCTGGTGCCTGAATGCTCTGGTCACCTGGGCAGGGGGAAAAGGCCCAGCCCTGCGCATGGGCCCAGGTAGCCAGGGATGCTTGGTAGATTGGTCGGCTTGTGGCCAGTATTGGCAGCTTCGATTGGACCGGGCTGCTGAGGTCAGAGAGG